ATATATATATATGTATGTATATATATATATATATATATGGGTTTTTTTCCTTTCGGCTTTGTCCCTTTTTTCAGGGGTTGCCACAGCAAATCAACTTTTTCCATTTCATCCTATTCTCTGCATCTTCATATATATATATATATAACCATGTTTTTGTATTTATGTATCTATCTGCATGTGTTTAAGCGCAAGGAAAACTAATTCTTTGTCATTTTTTTCCCTGCAGATACTATGATCAGCTGTGTGCTGTCGAGCCCAAGTTTCCCTTCTCCGAAAACCAGGTAATTGATTTGAAGTCACGTACTGTACACTTGTGATTGGAATAAGGAAGCTAGCTGAGAGAAACCCATTTTGCGTTGACAAAGCCTCTCTCTGTTTCCACAGCTCTGCTTAACGTTCACATGGAGTGACGCCTTTGATAAAGGGTCGCTGTTCAGCAGCTCTGTCAAGCTCGGTAGGTGCAGCCTCTTATCAAGGTGTTGTCTGTGGAAGAATGTTTGCATGAAAGACTTAGCTGCAGAGAAAGAAATTAGATTGGACTTTCCCCTCATTAATACACCACAGTATACTGTTTATGCAGTGTACATATATGTATGTCCCATTTTACTGGAAACTCAGTAGGTCCTGTTCTGCCTCTGCCAACAGGCACAACAACGTTAGTGTGTTTCAAAGCAACAGGTGCTTAAAGTTAAAGAAAAAAGTGACTCTGAAAGAACATGAGCAGATTCCTCAGATTGCGCTCTGTTGTGGTCCTCGCTGCACATTCAGTTCACGCTTGAATCTTTTGTCCTCAGCGTGAATTGTGGGAACTTGTGACTGCAGGATTCTTTTAGTTCTGTTTTCTCTCCACCCAGAGTGAATCAGTAAAAAAAGAAAAGAAAAACCGACAACGTTAAAGGCCAACACAATGTCTGAAGAAAAGCAGTTTTCAGTTTGAGCTTTCTGTAAAGTGAATCAAATCTAATCCTGACATTAGTACCGTGACAATGTATGTGACTGAGTGAATAGAAATGTACTCTCGCCTCGAACACAACCGTGATGTTTTTCTGTTTCAGCTTTGGCCAGTTTGGGTTATGAGAAGACGTGCGTGTTGTTTAATGTGGCTGCGTTGGCCAGCCAGGTCGCCTCAGAGCAGAACCTGGACAATGACGAGGGCCTAAAGACTGCAGCTAAATACTATCAGGTTGGTAAACAGCCATATGGTCATGGCTACACAGTGTAATTAAAATACTTTTGTCTACACGGTGTATTACATCCTTAGATAAACACATTTGTTACACGTGTACCAGATCAGATTACCAGATTTCGTGGGGTATCATTTGGATAGATCAGTCAGCAAAGTGTGTTCCACAAATCACAAGTCTCATCGTGGAACTTAGAAACACTTGGACTACAGTTGAAGGGACCCTCATACACATACTATGATATTGTTGAAGACATAGTAACCTTCTTGGAACAAAGCAAGAAAACTGCAGTGGCCAGATATTTTTTCAGTGTATTTTTCTGTAGTATGAGTAAAAGTAATGAGTAGTAGAAGTAGTAGCTGAGTGATAACCAAAAATGACAAAAGTCTAGCCTTAAAAACATGAAGAAACGGTTTGCTCAAGGTTACAATATTTCATAAAATTGTCCATGAAATTATTCATTATTTCTCTGAAACCAGTTTTACAGGGAACAAGAATGTGTTCATATCTTTGTTTGGTGTTTTTTTTTTTTTTCAAATTCTCACAAAAACCAAACACTTGCGCCTCGGGCATCAACATGGCCAGAACTTTATCTGTGAAACAGCATTCTTTTGTGAAACACGATGCTGCCACCATCTGTGATCTGTTGAACAGCAGTGTAAGCAAATAGGCTGCACATCATCTCTGCCAGGTGCAGCACATCTGAAAGTCCATACATTAGGTGATTTTTCTGTTGACACTGGAGGTTACGGACAAGCACTGCTGCCATTAGTCCCGTCTGTGTTTGCCTGTGTGTAAATTCGAAGATGCTTATTTGACATTAACTTTCACTAGCCGTGATGCTGAAGCTAAATAGCTAACCATTTATCTCTGTCTGGGTCAAGCTGGCGAGTGGAGCGTTTGGTCACATCAAGGACACAGTGCTGAGTGCTCTCAACAGGGATCCCACCATGGACATCTCCCCTGAGATCGTGGGCACCCTGAGCCTCATTATGCTGGCTCAGGCCCAGGAGGTCTTTTTCCTTAAAGCTACTTCAGGTAAGTGGCTAAAACACTCAGATTTTTTTAAACCTGACATGTAACATATCACAAAGAGTGACTTTTTTTTAGCACAGTATCTTAATGATTTATGCCCCTGTTTTGTCATGTGATTAATTAAAGTGGAGACGTACACACAGAGGACCATGTTTGTGAAAAGTTCCATTGTTTAGGGACACTGGCGTCACACATCTGCAACGCAAAGGAAGCAGAGTAATTGTATGCATGTAATAAATTAATAAGTAGCATCCTTAATTACACACTTGTGAGGTTTTTTGTCTAAAGAGGAGTAATTTTAGCAGTGGCAGCAGACAGTTCTGGTCCAGGCCGAGCACAGCCTCTGTCCCAGTTCTGTCTGCAGAGTTGCTTATTAGAGTTTTTAAGTACCACAGTTTCAAAAGTAACATTGTGAAAAAATGCTCCCGTTTAAAAAGTCATTTTTCTTTTTTTGCTTAGAGCCATGTTTTTGTTGCAAATGAGTTTTCACTCTCGGTAGGACGTAAGGGCAATTTCATCTGTCATGTAAATGGATGAAACGCCCATGAGGTAACTGCGAAAAACATCGCCGCTGTTATGTAACTATGCTAATGTGAACATGCATCTCATTGTAGGTAACAGAGAGATCGGTGTGTTATGTTTTCAAAGAACAATTTCTGACTTCAAAGTGACCTTTCTAACCAACAGACAGGATGAAAGCTGCTCTTATCGCTAAGCTGGCCAATCAGGCTGCAGATTTCTATGGTGACGCCTTTAAACAGTGTCAGCACAAAGAGAACCTTCCCAAGGTACGTGGAGATCCCAGGTTTACTTACACACTAACCCTGTAGTCTGCTCGGGTTTATTAAAATAAGACAAAAAAACGTGTGTTCAGTGCAGTGAGAACCCAGAGTTTAGAGTCTGAATGGTTAGACAGTTTGGGTGCTGAGCTTGACCCTGTGTGCTGTGTGAGTGCATTGGTTTGCTAAGGTCAAGGTCAGAGGTTTATAAGAGCGGTGTCAGGGATGTGGCCAGAATGAATCTCTCCCTCCCTCTCTCTCTCTGTCTCTCCCTCTCCCTCTCTCTCTCCCTCTCCTCATGGGTCCATTTCCATCCTGTTTTCTGATTGGCTGGTTTAACTAAGGTTTGACCTCATTCTGATGTTTTTTAACCTAATCACAGATATATGAAACACACATACAGCCCTTAAATTACCTTTAATCTGAAACTACCTTTTAATCATAATCCAAACTAAATCTTCAACCTCAAAATACCTTTTAGGCAGACAGGACTTTACCAACAGTGATAGTAGTTTCTATAGTAAAGTGCAATCACTCAGCAATCACATATGATGATTAATCCTAATCTTACCCTAACTTAATTCTGAATGTAATCTGAATCCAAACTCCAAACTAAATGTTAGGGTTACTTTTTACTTTATTACTTACACCATTTTGGTTGAAGTTTTACTTCATCCAATCACCTGTTCCAATCATCAAGTTAATAATAACACTGAGTCATTGATCACTCTTACACCGACCCACATAAACGAACTGTTTCCACACTGTCCACAACAACTGATGAAGGTGTAGTAGCTTTTGGCGAGCGGTCAAACACTCATTTCCTGTTCTGTTCTCTCTCTCGTCTTCCCTTCTTTCTGCATCCCTCGTGTTGTCGATGGTGTTGGCACTGGTTCCTTTGTGTGTGTGTGTGTGCATGTTTTTACACACGCTTGTGACGTGTTTGCACACATCTGACTGCTTGTGCCTCCTTGTGATTGGCTTCTGTGGTGTCACTTGTGATTTGAATTTGCTGCCGTGCCACGTTGTGGTGTGCCTTGCCATTGTGTGTGTGTGTGTTTGTATGCCTGTGTGTTGCTCTGTGGTTGCCTCTCCCTGGTCAGTATTTTTATTTTCAGGAAGCGATGCCCATCCTGGCAGCCAAGCACTGCATCATGCAGGCTAACGCTGAGTTCCACCAGAGCATCATGGCCAAGCAGAAAAAGTGTTTTGGAGAAGAGATTGCTCGCTTGCAGGTATCAGAGATTCTCTATTGATGCAAATGCCTGGAGCTGGAGCAGACACAAAAGAAAACTGTTCAACCATAGCGAACACTAAAACTTTTACCTTTAATCTGTCACTCCAGCACGCTGCGGAGCTGGTAAAAACTGTGGCCTCTCGTTACGATGAATACATAAGTGTGAAGGAACTCACTGACAAAATCAACCGGGCTCTCACTGTGGCCAAAAAAGACAACGACTTCATCTACAATGACCGCGTTCCTGAGGTCAAGGACTTGGAGCACATCGGCAAAGCAGCGCTGGTTAAATCCACTCCTATCACACCTCCACTCAGCCAGAAATTCACAGGTATCACAAACAGTGTTTTATGAGCTCTATGTAAAGCATGCAATTCAACCAGCAACTTTGAAGGTACATCATTTTCATCCAGCTCTGATCTTTTCCATGTCATTTAATGGAAAGCATAGATGGAATTGATTCTGCTTCTCTCTTCATCATGTCACTGAACATGCTCCTCATGGTGGTTTGGTCCCAGTTATAAATGATGTGATCTTTTCTGTGTCTCATACACAAACACAGAGTGACAGCTGGGTCGTCTGCCCTCCCCGTCATATTGGTCATCAGTTTCTATTAAGTCTCTCAGTGCCAAATTTCAGACCCTGAAGACATGTCCAAAAGAGTAAAGAGAAGTTTGAGTGAGGGACAGAAAGGGAGCACAGCAGCTCTCTCAGCTACAAACTCCACAAAAAATTAGTCTCTAAACTTGAAGTGACTGTTGGATTTGGGTCACGGAGCGAACCTGTCAACCCCTGCTGCTGTTTATGCATCTGCAGAAACTACTACACCAACTTCTTATACACAGTCTGTAGTTATTAGCAGCTGGGATTTAAGCGCCGTCTTTATTAACACTGCCTTGTCAGCTTTAATTTGGTGTTCACATTACTGCAGCAAACTTAATCTTAATTTAACATCAACCAAACAGGTTCATTGTGACGTCACATCTAATCCTTTATGTGCAGTGTTCATTTTTGTAGCTCCTCTCTCAAAAGATGCCTTTAAATGCACACTTTCGTTGAGCCTCATTGTTCATTTACAGTCTTAACTTGACTGGGCTGCTCAGTCTGGGAACTGTTTTGCTCTGCATCAGGTCTTTGTTTTGCTTCGCAAAGGCTAAAGTCTGAGACAGAAAGGGAGTTCTTCTCAACAACTGAAGACACTGCTCTGCTTCTGACGGCCTGTTTTTTTAAACCAGGTCCCAGAGAGAGAGATTCAATAGGCTCTACACTCTGTTTTGGCTCGAATGACTACAGCCAAACTGAGACTATTGTTATTATGGCTGCAGCAGATAAGAAAGCCTCTGTGTGAGAGGCGTGACACTTCCCACACATACTCACAGTCGTTTACCAAACACCAAATGGTGGATCATAGGTCAGAATAAATCAGTGCAGTATTCTGTTGAAATCAACAGATAGACAGTTTAGAGAGACAACTGTAAACTCCACTGTTATGACGAATCAAGATTAAGACATGCTTTTAATAGATTGAGCAGAGAAAACGTCACTCCCTACACAGATACATACACAACCAGACATTTGTCAGGAGTGATGTCAGACGTCAGTCAGCTACTGAGTTGTTGTTTACACACACTTCCATCCATTCTCAGGGTTAACACTTCTACCTCAACCTTGAGACTCGATGATACGATCACAGATGGGATTCCATTTACCTCACAGTCTTATCTTTGCTTTGGTTTGTCAGACTTGTTTGAGAAGATGGTTCCCATGGCGGTGCAGCAGTCCATGAGCATTTACACCCAGAGGAAGGCTGAGACCGTTAACAGACTGGTGGGAGCCATGAGGGAGGCCACCAATCTCTGCAATGGGTAAGTTGTTCTGTAGACCACTAAGTAGCAACTGTTTGTTTTTGGTTTTGTTTTGCATTGCAGAGATGGGAAGCTGCGACACTTGATTATTTTATTGTCTTTGCATCTTACGGGTCATTCTGCATGTTTATCAACACTGGTCAGAACCAAAAAATACCTCTGTTGAAATGTCAATGTCGGAGAGGATTGTTCTCCGGTCTGTGTTGTAGCCAGAGTCTGTCTTTACTGACCTCTGTTGCACAGGTGATGTATGTTGACAGGAAATTGATACAGTTTTTGTTGGCGATGCAGCATGGACCTGGTCTGACTGACTGACCGACTGACTGACTGACTGACTGACTGACTGACTGACTGTAGATCACTCATGTGAAAGTAGTGTTATTTTTTTCCTTGAGAGCTTTTTCATGTGCGCTCGTGTCTCCATGAATGGATGGCTTTATTAAAAATTCATGACTTAATGGAGCATTAAAAATGCCAATAAAAGTACTTGAGGTTTTATCGCTGCATCCCAGATAAAAGTCGAGCTCCTCTGACTCCTAATCTGAAGATGCTGATGAACGTTCTTGTGTTTGATGATATTAAAGGTAAAAGATCTTGTTAATTAGATGGGATTAGATGCAGAATGAATTAAAAATAATTAGAGTTGTTTCTAGAAGACGGTAATTTTGGCTGTGTCACTCTTCATCAGGGTGTTGGCGTCCCTGAACCTGCCGGCTGCGCTGGAGGATCTGTCCGGTGACTCAATCCCACAATCCATTGCTGAAAAGTCCAGATCCATTGTGCAGCACGGGGGCCTGCAGAGTATTGAACAGCTGATCAAAGACCTGCCTGAGCTCCTGACTCGCAACAGAGAGGTCCTGGACGAGGTTAGTGTTGGAGACAAAGACACACACGTCGGTGCTCAAACGTCTTACCTCACTGTCAGCCCTGACTCTTTTAAAGTGATGCACTGTACATTCACAAGAGCAGCTTCCTTCCCTAACACAAACATATGGACTAATGTTATTAAGCTGCTGATTTGGACATGCTGAATACTGGACCAGCATCCCCAGAGGAACACACAAATCCTTCAAACTCATTATTGTCCCTGATGGCGGAAATCCCAGATCAGGATCATCAGTGAAATCTAATCTACTGATCTCTGGGCCAAGGACTGTCTGTCTACCAGCTTCTGCCAACTCTTTTTTTAGACTGTTTACTGACAAACAAACAAACAAACTGGGGGGAGAAAACATTAAACACAATCTGCTTCCAAATTTTTTGGCAGAGTTGTAAAGTCTAAACCAAATTAATTTTTCCTTATAAATGTGAGAACTTGTATGAAGTCAAAGTACAATAACTGAAAATAAAATTGAAGAGAGGACATTTACGTGTCCAAGAAGTTGGTGATGGTGTAAAAATAAATTTGGCTTCAGGCTCTTGGTAAAGTTGACAGAGAAGTCGAGCTTATTAGTCAGTAACTTTAACACGTTTGTCTACAGCGTGTGAGGCTGGAGCCTCGACCGATGTGTGTTGGGAGTGTGATGGCTGTGGCACCAACCCGCTGCCTTTGCATTATGTACACTCTTTGTATGGAGGTTTACGGAACAACCTTAAGTAATGTAATTTTTGTCAGTTCCACTAATGTGTTTTATTGTGGTCTGTTTGATTTCATCAGTCTCTGAGGATTCTGGATGCTGAAGAAAAAACAGATAATGAGCTGAGAACCAAGTTCAACCAACGCTGGAACAGAACTCCCTCCGGAGACCTGTACAAGCCTCTTCGTGCAGGTACACACACATACATGCACACACACGTATACATTTTACAGTTGGCCAGTTACAGTCATTGCATCATTAACCGTGGTTCTCCCTCCCCTCCTTTCTCCAGAGGGTACTAACTTCCGCAACATCCTGGACAAGGCTGTGCAGGCCGATCAGGTGGTCCGGGACCGTTACGGCACTCACTGTGACATGATCGCCCTGCTGTGTAAGTCAGAGGACGAGCTGAATGCTGCCATCCCCTCCGCCAACCCGACCAAGACACTGCAGGGCAGCGAGGTCTGTCTGCTTTTGTTTCACCTTCACATCGACACATGTCCGGTTTTCACAAAACTACATTTTCTGGTTTTCTGCCGTCTCCTCACAGTGTACTCTGTGGAATACACAGACCTGCTGTATGCACACACTCAGTGGACATTGTGTGCTTTTTCCTCCCTCCCCACAGTAGCTCCATATTTCATTTTGTTTGCTGGCTCTGCATTGTTTTCCACTGGGGAACTTAGACTTAAAAACTAAGCAAGCAGAACTGGGAAAAGGTGAAGTAAGTTGTGTCTCCAGTCCAGGCTGCATCTGTGCAGGTGTGGACTGCAGTCGTCATGAACAGGTGAAAATGTCAGGGTGGATGTTGTCTCTCTCACCTTTAGGTGGTGAACGTGCTGCGCTCACTGCTGGCTAAACTGGACGAGATGAAGAAGGAGAGGGAGACCCTGGAAGGAGAGATCAAGGCTGTGACCTTTGACATGTCCGCCACCTTCTTGACAGCACTAGCCCAGGACGGAGCCATCAACGAAGAGCAGCTGTCACTTGCTCAGCTCGACCAGCTGTACAGCAGCTACAACCAGAGGGTGCAGGCCTCCCTCCAGACCCAGGAGGAGCTGCTGGGACAGGTTCAGGTAGATACACGGGCTGGTCCTTTAATCAAGAAGTCGTGAAGATGTGTCACTGCCTCTCTGCCCCCATACAATTACAAAACAATATATAAAAATAAAAATGTCAATGCAATTTTATGTATTTTGACAATATTTGTTTAGTATGAAACAATCTTTAACAAGCAAACTCTTACACTATAAATCTTAATTCAACATAATGCCTTTTTGAAAATGGATAGTTCAGTTCGTAGCTTAAATGAAATGTGACTTGTCTGACTGGAGTGAAGAACAGAGTGAGCTGTGTTACTGCTATCAACAGATCATCTGTTTTAAATAAGGCTGTATGTTGTCAGGCAGCAGGTGCAGATAAAGTCCTAATAGAAACTGAGAGAGTTTGAATGACTCCCTTGTGTGTGTGTGTGTGTGTGTGAAGAACAATTATTACTACACTGTACATTAATCTGCTGCAAGTTCCACAGTTAAACGTCCTCAATCTGTCATCCCTCTCCTCAAACCTGCGATCACTTCCGCAGACGTCCCACCAGGACTTCAGCAGTCTGAAGCAGTCCAACACGGAGGCTAACCAGAGGGAGGAGGTCCTGAAGAAGCTGGCCTCGGCCCACGACAGCTACATCGAGATCAGCAACAACCTGCGCGAAGGCACCAAGGTACTCACTCAGCACAATGCTGCCGGCACAGAGGAACGCACAGTGCAGCAGTAACGCACGTCTCACCGCAAACATTTCCTCTTTATTTCTTTCTTTCTTTATTTACCGTTTGTGTGTCAAGGTTGTTTGCAAAGTCGGGCGACTTATTTTTGTCCTCTTGTGTTTTCTCCTCCTCTAGTTCTACAACGACCTGACAGAAATCCTGTTAAAGTTCCAGAATAAGTGCAGCGACATTGTTTTTGCGCGTAAGACGGAGCGGGATGAACTACTTAAGTACGTGCTCTTCTTTTGGTGTGTTCTTTGAGAGGGGGTGTCTGAGGGGGTGGGTCTGGTGGGAGATGGGGGAGAGGGGAGGAGGGGCTTCACATCCTGATGTAACCTGATTCTTTCTGTCTGATGTTTTCATCCTCTGCATGTTGTTTCCTAACTAACGTCCTCTGACGCTGGAGAAATCAATACAGAGTGAACTTTGGTCCATCACAGGTTCTGAGTGGCCTGTGGATGTTAACGTGAGTGAATATGGTCCACTGTCTCTGAGGGCCAGCACTCTGATGGTCCTGTGACGGTCAGTGGGACTGGCCCCAGCTCAACATGTGCCATAAGAGAATAAAGCTCATAAAGAGTGATTAAATGGACGATGTCTGAATTATTCATTGTCTAGACATAAAAATCACAGAATGACTGTGATTCAGCAGCAGAGATTGAAGCCAGTAAACTCCCAGGTTCAGTTTAAAGTTGATGAGCCGCAAATGTTGTTCACGTCTGGACTTTTTTCTGGTCTGGACTTTAGTTTGGATATCCGGTTATTCAATTTATTTAAAAAAAACAGCAAAGATTAGGGGATTGCTGTCAGAGCAACACACATAAAACTATCAATGATTTCATTTTTATGAGGTTTGATTTTTTTTATATTTTATGGATCTCAGAGACCATGAAATGTCAGATATTACAGGCTGACGATGACCTGGTCTAGTTGATAAAACCCGCTGGGATTCACTCAGACGCACCACTGACATTTACACAGAGTTCTCTGCACCTGCAAAGTCTGCTGGTGTAATTAAATCAATTCTTAATATTTAAAGAGGAATGATCAAGTTTATGTTGCAAGTCGGGCGTGCACAGTCACCTTCTCCTTTTTTTTTTTTTCTCCTTTCTTGTTATTGTTTAGTCTGACCGTCAACACAACAGACAATAAATCATTTCAGCCACAACGGCTCTCATCTCACCTGTCGCTGTATCACTGCACGGCTCAAAATGTAACACCTAAATACATTTGACAGGTGCTTAATATTTATGAAACCTGGACCAAATGTTTCAAAGCTCTGAAAGAATTGTGTTTTACTGCAGCTTTTCCTCTGCATTTGAAGAAATGATATTTCCAGTGTTTCCAGTCAAACCAGTCTCTTCTTTTTAATATGAGGCTTCATTTCCTTTTTTCCCCTTTTTGTCACACTTTTAATTACCTGTGTGTGCGCTTCAGTTTATTCACTGGCCTCATTGTGTTTTTACCCGGGTGAATCGAGGCGGCTCCTCATTTTAAAAACGTCTTTAACACAGATGGAGCAGAAGAGTCTGAACTGCTGCCGTGTTTGAAAAGGCTGCTGGGTAAAAGCTCTACAGCTGGGGGGAAAAGATTCACAGTACTTTTGGAATTGAGCGTGTACTTGTTGCTTTAAAGGTGTCGTGCTTAAGAAAGAAAGTGTTTTAGGTTTGTTTTGTGGTGTGGCAGCAAACAGTAATCTTTGAAACACTTATTCCAGGGACCTGCAGCAGAGCATCGCCCAGGAGCCCAGCGCTCCGTCCTTCAGCGTTCCTGGATATCAGAGCGCTCCAGCCCCTGGACCAACTCCTGCACCCAGAACTGTGTTTGTAAGCGGCGTCTCACAAAGTGCACGTCTGTAACTGGAGGTAAACGGGCCGTCGTTGTTCATCCATCCATGTGTGTCTCTGGTGTGTGTGTCACAGCAGCCCGCAGCAGCCCAGCAGCAGCCTCCGGCCAAGGCTCAGCCTCCAGCCAGACCTCCACCTCCCAGCATCACCCCTCAGGCAGCAGCCACTGCTCCTCCCAACGTAACACCCACTGGTCCACCAACCAACAACCCACCACCTGTGGCCCCACCCTCCCAGGCCCAGGGACCGCCTTACCCATCTTATCAGGGCTACCCCGGGTGAGTCATTGGTACAGTTATGGTTCAGAACTGTAACTCCGTATTTCTGTATTCTAGTATCGTATGAGAATTTACTGGGAGATTAATGCAGTAAAAATGTGTTTATTGATTCAGAAAGACAGACCCAAGCTCTCCCTCCACCTTCATTGTTTTGTCATTATGGAGGAGATTTATTTCCATCTCTGTCCAGTGTTTTATATTTCTATCCTACCTTCAGCCATGGAGGAGTAAAATTAGAAGTAGAGCAGTATATACTACGCAACATTACTCACTGGACCTGTTAAAGGTACATTCCTGATCAAAATCTTAAGACTGGTGGGGGAAAAAAACTCCCAAGTATCCAAGTATTCCCAATCCACACTGATGGATTGTACCCAGGTTGTAAGTAGAGCTTTTCAAAATGCAAAAAAGAAGAAACTGGGACAAGAATATACAAGAGGCCATTTAATGAAACATGAACCAACTCCAAAAGGAGAATTAAAACCATAAATATTTAAAAATCACCAGATCAGAAGTGTCAGTTGTCAAGTTGTACACTTTGGAGAGTATCACTGTGGTTCCGGTTGGTGAATGTATTTAGAGGTATCTGATTGGCTCCCGCTCCTCCCGTGTCTCTGAAGGTATTACCAGATGCCTATGGGCTACAACCCCTACGCCTTTGGTCAGTACAACATGCCCAACATGCCTTACATGCCCTACCAGGCGACCCCGGGACAGGGAGGATACCCAGCAGCTCCCCCGGGACAGGGAGGATACCCAGCAGCTCCCCCTGCAGGACAGTCCTACCCTGGTTACCCCCAGCAGCCTCCACAGCAGCAGCACTACTACCCTCAGCAATAACTCTGCTCTCCATCCTCACAGTCCTCTTCTAACACCTTAACACCAAATTTAAACAAATACTCCTGCAATAACACTTTACTTCACCCTCCTTACCTTTAGCCAAGTCTGTTTCTTTTCTTTCTTTTTTGTTTTTTACCATCAGCATCTGTGAAAAACCCTAGTGAACGGCGACCTCAGAGCTGCTTTCCACTTCCTCTGAACATTCTCTCCTCAGCTGCCTCTCTGCCGCACGTCTTGTTTTCTGGATTCTGACGGCACTTTCGTGAATTCACTTACCCTCCCTCCACCTTCAGTTGCCTCACGGAGCATTGTTATGTTCTGTTGGTTGTTTTTGAGTCATTTAAACCCTCCCTGGTTTTAGTAGAAAGAAAAACTGACTGTTTGAGGCTTCACTGCTGTAAGAGACGGACACAGTCCCAGGTGGACGGCTCTCCGTCTCCTGGTTGTTGCGTGGGCGGACGATGGGAGTCATGCTACATCCTCACCCCACCCACCCACCCACCCCTCGACTTACCGTACCCATCTGCCCACTCTTTACATCTGTATCAACTGTAATCCTATTTTTGTACTGAACACTGACTCCTCGCTGATGTATGAACCTATAAAAGCGAACGGCCTGCAGGTTTTCTAGTGTAGATCATAACTGTTGAGCATTCTGCTTTTTTTTCACCTTTCTTTCTCTCTCATCTGGGGAATTGTGGGTAAATTTCTGTGATACAATCAGAGGCTGTACAACTGGGAAAAATGGATCCATTATATAAATATATGTATAAAGAAGACTGTGTATGTGTTTAACTGAGACTCTCTCTCTCTCCCTCTCTCTCTGTGTGTGTGTGTGTGTGTGTGTGTGTGTGTGTGTTGCTCTCTCCTGCTCTTTGTGTTTATTTTTATTCCTCGGCTCTAATATGATTAAAAAACAACTGCCTGCCAGGATCTGTCTGTCTTTCACGGTTCAGTCTCGCTGCTGTTTGTTGTTGTTGTTTGGATGCAGCGGTGAAGGTCTGTGCAGCAGCCAGGAGAGGGCAGTCCTGCAGCTCACAGGCAAATCACCGCTGCACTCCTGCTCCCTTTTGCTCCTCTCAACCGTTCGAGGAAGGGACGCGGCCCGTTCTGACTAATCGGAGGCTTTTTGACCCGTCGAGCGTTTAGGGGGCAGATCCCATTTAGATTACATGCAAATTACGTTCCTGTGAGGTCGAGATCTCATCCAATCATATTTCCCCTCAGGTGATTTCTCTCCACAGACAGATTCCATCCCAAGATATTTATTCAGTGTCAGGAGACGCTAATGATTTCACATATCTCTTCCCTACGTGCATGTTTCTCAGTGTATGTTTCTGTGTGTGTGTGTGTGTGTGTGTGTGTGGCAGGAAGGCAGATGGCAGCACAGTGTGATGTCTGGAAGGATGGAGGATGGAGATGTTGGCAGAGAGCTGCTGCTCCCCTGCCTACATCCATCTCTCCTCCCTCTCCACTCTCCTTTCTTCTCTAAATCTAATCTCTATATTCAACTTCAAGTCTATTTTTTAAATCCACCACATTCCACCCCAGTCTTCCTCAGCACTCTGCCATATTTTTGTGCTTTTTCCCATTGCTCTCTTCATCAGATTTTCTTTGTCTGTCAGCTTTTTTTCTCCTGCGTACCACCTGTTTTTTTCCCTCCTCCTCCTTTCGTACGCTCATCTGTTCTCTCCTCCATTTTTCCTTCTCCCCTGGCTCGTCTGTTTTTTGCTTACTGTTCGTCTGTCCTTGCCATCAAAGCTGCTGGCACTGAGTTGTTCTCACTGGTCAGTATCACATGTCTTACAGCATCATATCACTCTTCTCTGAGTGTGTGTGTGTGTGTGTGTGTGTAAGTGAGTAGAACTCCCAAGGAACAATACACACTTTTAATCAGTTTTAACAGCTCACATCTCCTGGAGATGACACAACAGCACACACACATTCACACACACACACACACACACTCACACACACACACTGGCTCTCCTCTCCCTCCATCTATCTATACTACATGCCGTCGCTGCCAAAGCCAATTGTAGCTGTAGATGTGTTTATCAAAGGTGTCTTTGTGTCTCAGGCGCTTAATTTTAACAAGACGTTCTCCACCGTAGGAGTGTCATATTTTAATTGGCCTGAAACAGAATAAAGGCAGCGAACAGAGCACTGCAGTGACAGGTATTAATTACCTTCTGCCTAATGGCTCCCAAACTCAGCACTCAGCCATATTGGTGTTCACACTATTCTAACTCCCCCACTCTCGCCGCTTTCCTCTCCTCCTCACCATGTGTTTGTAACAAATAGGGCTGAATCGAGTGTTTTTGGCCGTGCACCACGCCGGTAATTATAGAGAAATACATAAACATAACATTTATTTTCTAATAGGCAGATTCCCCACCTGACGCTGCTCCCCAATTTGCCAGCGGGGGATGTTAAAGGATCAAGAAGTAGTCGGACTAATTTGGAAACATGTTCCTGTGATTGATTACTGAACGTGGTTAACGAGTGGGGAGAGGAAGTGGGGGACACAGTCAATTTGGGGAGGACACCAATAAAAATAAAAAGATCAAAAAATGAATTCACCTTATTTGTTAATAATTACAGCTGAAATGGCAACACGCTGTGTTAAACTTGTGCTGTGGTGATGTCACCACAACAGTGTAATCGACATCTGCTAACGTCGTCTGTAATAATGAACCATTTCAAACTCGGGTGCATTTATTTGTAAAAACCAAAATCTGTAAATAAGGTGATCATGGTATTGTGTAATGTTTATCAAAAGAATATTAAAAATGCAGGAACACAGTTGCATCATGGGAGTTCCAGGCTCATGGGCTAAAACTATTGTTCACATAAAAAGTACTGTAGGATATGACGAAGAAGATAAAAGTACTGTAGGATATGACTTAGTCCAGTTTGGGGTTCAATTCACCAGGATTCTAGGAGGCATTATGGAAGATGTGGTTTATGGTAAATGTGTGTTTGTTTAGAATTGGAACTGGAGAATTCAAATTGTATTAAAGGTTGAGATTTAAAACTAAAGTATTTTGGCGGAGGAACACATTTTATGATGCGCTGTTATTAGGACAGGTTATGGGCCACAAGCCGGAACTTGTTGTTGGCGGAGCTAAACCAAACAACCGACCTCATGTCTTGATAAAATCTTATGAGAAAATGTGCTCCTCCGCCAAACTAGCCTTGTGTATTTTGCACTAACTATTTTGCACTAACTGTAGGCTTTTCGAATACTTATTGGTCGACGCTCAGAGTGAGGAGGCGCAGTAACACAATCTAGTTATAGTTCAGTTTGGACTTACGTTAGAGGAAGGATGTTTCTGGTTTCATAGTCCAACTAAGACCAGTCCAACTGGTGGAGACATTATTTTATTTCATCCAGTTCACTGTGTGCTTCTGCCCAGAGCCGCCACAACATAATCTTAACAGAAAAAAAAGATAAATTGATTTAAAATCAAAGAAACTGCATGATTCAGACGTTCCTTCTTACAGTGACCAGGGTGAAATATACACTTCTTTTCTCTCCATAACTCTTTCCTATTGTTATTATTTGTGTGCAGGAGCTCCACGGTTTGTAGTGCGTCGCTGGATTTATCTAATTGCCGTGCAATGCATACATTTAAAATAACTCTGCATAATGTGACAACTGCACTTTCAGTGGAACATTGTTAGGAAACGCTCTTTTTCCCTCCCTTTGTGAAATATTTCTGGGGTGGCATTTTAGATCTTTTGTATAGTGACATTTCAGATATATTGTTTTTTTGTTTTTTTTTTTAACCTAATATGAAGTTTTCCTACAGTACTTTCCGGCAGTACAGTAATCCCATTTTCTTTTTTTCCCCCTCTGGCTGACTGAGTTATTTCCTGGTTAGCCTTTAGTTTTAGTACAACTTAAATTACAATCAATGTTTCTGATTGACCAGTATAATCCGACTAATCCGACTGTCAAATAACAGCCCTGGAGGAGACGCTTATTATTGCTATTAGTCGGCCATCAATAGTTATCATATCATCAGTTAGGGAACCTACTGGAACCTAGAGATGAGAACCTTTTTGTTCCACTTTCAGCACACTCTACTGAAGGCTGTCCATTTGATAAATTGTGCTTTATTACTGTAATCAAGTTCAGAGTACAAATACAGGTACAATACCTTGGTTTAGGTAGTGGTCGATGATGGATGGATGATTGGCAGGTCAGAATCAGTTTTCAGCTTTATTTAAATGCTGTGACTTACAATAAATACAGTAGAGAGTTTGTCAGTATTTGTCAGGTTTTAAAAAGTCACAGCCATTGAGAAGCTGTGGAAAGAAGTTCCTTGAAGTTGGGTGTAAACGTTAGCGCCAATTAAAGTAGCGGACACGTGGTTGAAAGTGTTAGATAAAGACATAAAATAAACCTGACTCATCAGCAGTGTGACTGTATGTGTGTGTGTGTGTGTGTGTGTGTGTGTGTTCTCCAGTTTCAAAACTATCAAAGTGAAATTAGAAGGATGACGTCTGAGGAGAATGAGGTTGGGGTGAGGGTGGGGAGGGTGGGGGTTACAGGAGTTCATCAGTCAGAGCTGTGACACTGCCTCACCCTCACACTGCTTCACTTCACTTTTCTGAAGCTTAGTGTGAAACGGGGAAAAAAAAAGAAAAAAAAAAAGGTGAGAATCCTCAGGAAAGCAGAAAATAAACCGGCGCTGAAGTCTAATGTTGGGTGTTAATGTGATCAGTCTATCAGCTTACCAGTCGCCAGTATCACTGCGTGTGCGTTGGCTGATAATTTAGCCTGAGTGGAGCAGCTCCGTGGCCCTGCTATGTTTGCTGATTTTCCATAGAAGCAGAGACGCCTGAAATAGCTGTGATTGACAGGTATAGAGAAACAGTTACTATAACAACTACCTCCTGGCTCTCATCAGCCACCTCCCCTCCATAGAAGCAGAGACGCCTGAAATAGCTGTGATTGACAGGTATAGAGAAACAGTTACTATAACAACTACCTCCTGGCTCTCATCAGCCACCTCTCCCTCTCTTCTCCTCTCCACCTCCCCTCTCCTCACCTCTCCTCTCCTCTCCTCTCCTCTCCTCCCCTCTCCTCCCCTCCCCTCCTCCCCTCTCCTCTCCTCTCTTCTCCTCTCCTCTCCTCTCCTATCTTTTTTATTTCTTTTACCAGCTTTTCCTTTTTTTTTTTTTTCCTTTTTTTTTTACCCCTGTCTCCCTCTCACTCACCCCCTCACTGTGTGCCTGTGTGGGTGTACAGGGAAGAGATTATGAGAAAGAACTGTGCTGCAATATTCCTTCACACTGAGATGTTTGTGCTGGAAGATGGAGAGGCCTGGCACCGGCTGCTGGTCCTAACCTGAGTGGGTGTGGGGAGGCGAGAGTGGGAAGATGAAACAGGCTTACACAACACGGGCAAATAAGCCTTTTATTTTCCTTTTCCTCTCTGCTGGTTTCTGTTGTTCCTCTGTCAGATGGAGCTTCTCGGCTGCTGTGACGGAATCAGAGGAATGTGCAGAGATACAGTCGGGGACCAGAGCGGTCGTGACGTTCTCTTCAGAGCAGGAGGCTGCAACGTTTTAGGCCAGAGATCTCCACGCTGATGGAGAGGAATGTGATTTATATTAAACTGCTGCCATGAATCACCCTGGTTATCTGCTTTAGCTGTTGAAAAAAAACACCTCTGTGTGTATCTATCTACAGAACATCATCTATACAGTCGTGCACCTCTGTCCTAGAGACCTGTATTCACTGGAACATGTATTTGAAGACATTTAGAA